TCAGACCTCCAGAGGTGTAAGAGAAGGAATATATATCATTTTAGGGCCCCTAACTTGTACTTGATGGGGGCAGCTCAGATCCAGATCTACAGGATTCCAGCCTCTCCAGGTTCTTGGCTGCTTCCGTCACTAACAACTCCAACAGGATGATTAGGTGATGAGAACATGATGGCGTCCATTCCCAAAGAAGAATGCTTATCTGGCAGGACACCAAATAGGCTCCAGGTGCTCAGGAGCTGCCAGGCGGTGCCCCTGAGACTCAGCCAAGCATCTGCATTCCCTGGAAGGTGAATGGTGTCCCCTGGATCCCATCCAGATTCCCACGGACATGATCTCCATCATGAGGTGCTGGAATGTGGCAGCCCTTGTTTCTCACCCCATTGCCCCATCGGTCCATTTTCAGGTCCCTACAGTCTCTGTGCTCCATTGCCTCCACCACCACCTTTCCAGAATCATCCTTAAATCTTAAATATTTGTGTCATTTCCATTATTTATCATAGCTACCTTGTAGGGAATTGTGGTAGATTTGAGCCATGAGTTCTGTGGAAAGGGTGAATCTGGTCAGTGCGATGGTGGAAGGATAGATGGATGGATGCATGCATAAATGTGTGAATGGATGGATGGATGCATAAATGAGTGGATGGATAAATGGATCGATGGGTAGATGATGGATGGATGATGGATGTGTGGATGGATGGATGGGTGGATGGATGGGTAGGTAAATGGATGGGTGGATAGGTAAATGGATGGATGGATTATGTGAATGAATGGATGGATGGATGATGGATGGGTGGATGGATGGATGGATGGGTGGATGGATGGATGGATGGGTGGATGGATGGATAAAGAATATATGGGTTGATGGTGAATAAATGAATGAGTGGATGGATGATTGGAAACATGGTGTGTGGTAAGAAGGATGAGCAGATGAAGGGTGGATGGATGAGTGGCTGGATGACAGGGTTGGTGGTAGGTGGTGAGATGGGTGGGTGGGTAGATGAGTGAGGGAGTGAGTGAACAGACAGATGAGGAAGTGACTTGGATGATGGGTGAATGGAATGTATGCATGGATGGTAAGTGGATGAGTGGATGATGGCTGAGTGGATGGACAGATGGGTGCATGTCTGTATGGGTATGTGTATATATGAATTTATGTATTGGATGCATTGAATAACTGGATGATGAGAGAGGAGGTGGGTGGATGGGTAGATGCGTGAGTGAGGAAGCAAGTTTCCAGCTTATGAGAGAAGCTTGGATTTGGGGCAAAGGAGAGCTGGTCATCTGGATGTCCAGGGCTTCAGGTACAAGGTAATTTGTAAGGGCAGTGTTTTGTCCCTGAGATTGCAGCTGTGAGGGGCAGTGAAACCCTGTTCCCACAGCCAGTGACCACCTGTTCCTGGCAAGAGAATAAGGAAACGCCTTGTCCTAAGCTGTGGGATGACCTTGGAATACATGAGAGGATGAGTTTCTTTTCTTTTTAACTTAATAACAGGGTTGGAATCGGCTGGGTGGAAAGCCTGTGAGCAGTTTTGAAGAGTCAGCTCACAAAGCCTTCATTGTGTCCTTCACTGAAGATTTCACCTACTGTATTCAGGCCGTTGGAGGCTCAGGGCTGTAAGGTTCTGCCTGGCCGGTAGGGGCTGGGGGCTTGTGGGGGGCTATTGTCACCTCCCATCACCAGACAGGCC